AGAAAATCAAATTTAAAAGTGTTGAAAATCCTTTCCAGTTTGCCATTGCAGGGAAGAGTACAAGAGTCAAGCTCCACCCATTAAAAATTGTCCTGATTATCATTGCTCTTGGGACATTTGTAACAATTCTTTCATCTCCACCTGTTTATCAACAGAAAAGTATTTTCCACTACGTTTCCAGGTAAATTCTACTTTCAATGACGTTTTTTACTTGTGCACCAACGACAACAAAAATAAATCTTATTCTTGGATAAATTTAGGGTCGACTATAGGACTCCATTTTGGCTGGTCCTTTCAATCCATTAGAATTCATATCATAGGATGTGATAAGATTTATTCTGGCTGTCAACTTACGGCAACTCTCTGTTATATGGTTGGGGCTTTAGGCTATAGGATTCGTGTGCATAACCTTGATTGAGTTTGTGCAAGTCTTCTATTTTGATTGTCTTAATGGATAATGTCCCATTTAAAGTGTTATAGTGTGCACGGCCCTTCGAATTTGAGTCTCCGATATTCTTCCATTGCAGGCTTTAAACTCCCTTGAACTTGTAGAACACTGTGCTTTTGTTCAAATACCTTGTTCCCGAACTTGTATAGAGAAGACCATAATAGAAGTAGACCTTAAGAATGAGTAATTGGTACAAAACATCCCTAACATTTGGCTCTATTCTGAAATACTCCTCTATCCTTTCATTTTTGCGGAAAATCCCCCTATAGAACATTTTCTTTGTGGAATACAACATTTTTCTTCCATTTTCTCAATAAAGTCTCGTGAAATGATGAATATACCCTCCTCTTTAAACAAAACAAAAAATAAATAAAAATAAATAAAGAATTAATTGTAAAGGTAGTTTTCCAAATTTTTCAAAAAGAATACAAACGAATTCCAAATAATTAATTAAAAACTTAAATGGTCATATAAGTTATTTTTTATATTTTATTTAAAAAAATTAAATAAATATTTTTTTCACTTTTATTTCTTTTATTTATAATATTATCCACGTGTAAGTTAATTTTTATCTTCTATTTCATTTGAATTTATTGTAATTAGTATATACTGTATATATGTAAATCAAATGAACGACGATAATAATAGCAGCCCAGATTTTGTGAACAGGTGGATATGGGGTGAGTCGGATCCTCGGTACGTATCAGATTTAGACATTAATTGGCATGACATTTTAAGAGCATTGGAGCAGTTACCTGAAGATAATAAGATTCGACGAGTCGGACTTCTCAATTTTGATGAGAGAGAAATCCATCAATGGAAACAGCTTATTCCCACGGCTAATCACGAGGTTCTGCACCTGGATTATGCCCAGAAAAACATTACTTGGGAGTCCTTGTATCCTGAATGGATTGATGAAGAACAAGACGATGTAGTTCCTAGTTGCCCTCGTCTATCTAAACTTGAAGTCCCAAGACAGCGCCCTGATCTTGTTTCTGTTAAACTCCCTTGTCATAATAAAGTAAATTGGTCGAAAGATATTGCTCGACTACACTTGCAGATATCAGCTGCTGGTTTAGCTGCCTCTTGCAAAGGCAGTTACCCTGTGCATCTGCTTTTGATTACAAAGTGCCCACCGATACCAAATTTGTTCACATGCAAGGATCGAGTTGCTCGTGTAGGTAACGTGTGGTTATATAAACCGAACTTGGATGCACTTAGAAAAAAGCTTCAGCTCCCAATAGGATCATGTGAACTTGCACTTCCCCTTGGAGCCAAAGGTAAGCTCTCTCTAATTTCGTGCACTAAATATTCTTGATACCAAATATGGGATTTCACCAAACGCCAAACTCGATTCTTTGATAATGTCACGAAGTGCGTGTTACTTAATATTCTCTAATCGTATAAAGATTTGTTTGGCACATAACAAGTAATTGATAAGCTCCTACTACAATCTCATGTAAACAGAACAGGATTACACCAGAAAAAGGCAAAGAGAGGCTTACGCTACCGTCCTGCACTCGGCCAATGTCTATGTGTGTGGAGCCATAGCTGCAGCCCAGAGCATCCGCATGGCTGGATCCACCCGGGACCTCCTTATCCTTGTGGATGATACAATCAGTGATTATCACAAAAGTGGACTCGAATTAGCAGGTTGGAAAATCAGAACAATACAAAGAATCAGAAATCCTAAGGCCGAAAAAGATGCCTACAACGAATGGAACTACAGCAAGTTCAGATTATGGCAACTTACAGATTATGACAAAATAATCTTCATTGATTCCGATCTGCTTATTCTCAAAAACATCGATTTCTTGTTTTCGATGCCGGAAATCTCTGCAACGGGGAACCATGGAACACTTTTCAATTCTGGAGTAATGGTGATTGAGCCATCGAATTGCACATTCCAGTTTTTGATGGATCATATAAATGAAATTGAATCATATAATGGTGGAGATCAGGGATACCTTAATGAGATTTTCACATGGTGGCATCGATTTCCGAGGTATATGAATTTCTTGAAGAATTTTTGGGTTGGGGACGATGAAGAAGTGAAGCAGAAGAAAATTCGGCTTTTCACAGCAGAACCGCCGGTTCTTTACGTTCTTCACTATTTGGGTAATGTTCTAACCTTATTTCACGCAAATGGTGACATTATATTCAAATCCCATCTCGATTATTTTTTCTCGAAAGTAAAGTCATCCAGATGAGATTAGCTATGACTTTGGGGCGTGCATAGTTTTTTTATGAATGGGCAGTAGTGAAACTTGAATTCACGTTCATTCTAACATGTTAAACCAACTCATCTAAAACTCAAGTATTCGTCCTTTCAACAGGTAACAAGCCATGGATGTGCTTTCGGGACTACGACTGCAACTGGAACACAGATTTCCTACAAGAATTCGCAAGCGACATAGCCCACAAAAAGTGGTGGAAACTCCACGACTCCATGCCGGAAACACTCAAACAGTTTTGTCTATTGCGCTCGAAACAAAAGGCTCAATTGGAATGGGACAGAAGGCAGGCTCAAAAGGCAAACTATTCTGATGGGCATTGGAGAATCGAAATAAAAGATGAACGCATTGACAAGTGCATTGATCCACCGCATAATTGCCACTGGCAAGGCATGTTGAATCATTGGGGGGAGACGCAATCGACAAACAGTGCAATGCCTATTCCCACTCCACCTGCAATAAATATAAGCTCTTTGGGTTTATGAGTAGGGTTTTTACTTATATTCAGATTTTATTTTGAATTTGAATGCTATATGATGTAGTTTTATAATGGATGCTTTTGGGGTTTTCTATGTTTTTGTGTTTTCAACTATTTTACATGGATATCCTTTCTACATGGAAGATCAAGCAGAAACTAGAGTGTTAGACGAGTTTAATCGGGCCAACCGCTTTTGATGTGGTCCTATGCCAGCAAGCTATAGATTGAACACAAGACAATCAAAATAACCAGAGACCTAGCATGTCCCATAGCTTTATATTGTTAGCGATATGATATAGTTAGCTATGTCAACGAGCCAAGCCTAGCCCGAGTCGGGAAAAAAAAAAGCTCGGGCTCGGCTCGAGATTTTTTCGGCCCCAGCAGAGCCGAGCCCTGTCAAAAAAAATGAGGCTCGGCC